GCCACTCGTCCCGCCTGGGGTCATACTTGAGCAGGCGGTAGAAGAGTGAGCCACCTGACACATAGATCTCACCATTGCATGTGGTGGCCTCGTGGGCCACAGCAAAGGCACCCTTGGGCAGGGGTGCAGCAGCGCTCCAGCGGTCAGCCCGTGGGTCATAGCGCTCCACGGTGAAGAGGCACTCGCCACCCACAGCATACAGGTAGCCGTCCAGTGCCAGCAGCTTGAGCTGTGCCCGGGGCTGGGCTAGCGGGCGCACCTGGCTCCAGTTGTCCGTGAGAGGATTGTAGCAGAAGACCTTGTCCGAGGGGCGAGTACGCGGCTCACCTGGCACTGCTGCTGCCAGGCCCCCGGCCACAAAGAGGTAGTTGTGGAGCACACATATCGCACAGCCCTTAGCATTGGCCTCATCAGGCAGGCGTGTCAGTACCCGCCATTCACCTGTCACCTCCTGGTAGCAATAGATGAGTGCACCACTGTCCTCCAGGGATACCACAGACGAGGGGCTCTGTGGCCGGCTGCTCTCACGGCTCTGTGGCCGGCTTCCCACCCCCGCAAGCCTCTCCAAAGCATCGCTCACCTCAGCAACCAGCAGGCAGGGCCGGCCGGCATCCAGGCGGCGCTGCAGGATGAGATCGCGCTCAGCGCCGCTGAGGCGGCCGTAAACACTGGGCTCCCGCAGCACCTCAAGGTAGTGGTCACTCATGAAGCGGTAGGTGGCCTCACGCAGCTCCGTGAGGCGCTGCTTCTTGGCCAGGCAGAGCAGCTGGTAGCAGTTTTGGAGGCTTAGCTGGGCACGCATGGCTTCAGCAGCACAGTGCAGGGCACATGGCATCTGCAGCACACGGGCGCCACTCACCACCTCAGCCAGGTTGTCGTGGCGGATGCCACCCATGCGTGCCGTGTACACGTAGTCAAGCAGGAGGCGAAGCGCCCCGTAGCTCACGCCCTTGAGTCGCAGTACGTCCCGTGATGAGCGGGCACGGAAATAGTCGCTCTTGGCTGCCAGCACCGCTTTGTGCGCCCGCACCCGCCGCCCACACACTTCGATCACCAAGTCCGGCTCCTCCCCAGGCCGCAGGCAGCATGGCCCACCCTCACCTGCTTCACTCTCCTCTTCCTCCTCTGACTCTGATGCCGCACTGTTGATCTCCCACTGGCTTTTCACTACACGGCTGCAGGACGATGAGGATGGTGGCGATGGCGAAGGTGATGGGGAGGCGGCAGCAGCAGCGCCAGGGTCCTGTCGTGGTGCTGAGTCTGCTCCTCCAGGTGCACTAAAGCACAGGGAGGAGCTAAAGCCACAAGGCCCCCCCAGGGGCAGCTGGGTG